TTAAAGATTTAAAAATATATAATTAAATATACATACAACATATGCATGAATATTCTAATTTCTTTATTGGTTAGAATTATTTATATAATTTTTAAAAATATATATAACTACACCAATCGAAATTATCTAATTTTAAAGATTTAAAAATATATATTTAAATATACATACACTGTATACATGAATATCCTAATTTTGTTATTGATTAGAATTGAATAAATAAATATTTTAAAATTCAAAGGATATACCAAAAATTTTAATAAAGTATTAAATAAAAAAGACTTAACAAAAATATCTTCTCTTTCGGATTCCTCCAAATTGCTTCCTCTCCCTCTTAGTATAAGAAAGTAATTGTATGTGTAACATTATATTTGTAATTTACGTAAAAATTAAAAGTATTTTAGTATTGATGTATGATTATTTTTACTCAAATAAGAAATGAATATTTTGGAGTGAGACGAATGAAAATGATAAAAAGATATTTTGAATTGAAACGAATGAAATATTATTTTTATTATTTGGCTTTTGAATCAATATACAAAAATTACTATAAAAAACAATGCCAAGTATTATCATTATCATTAGTATATACACCTATTAGACTTTATAGGCGTTAATGTAACATCTTAGGATTTGTTTGGTTTGAAACTAATATCAAACTTTCTATTATTCAATATTTTTATTTTTAATAAAAATATATTATATAATAAATATTATTTAAATTAAAATTCAAAATCAAATTAAACAAACCCCTAATGATCCTCCACCTTGGAGTGGAGTTCCTGTTGCAGGGTTTTGGGCTTGGTCCACATAGCCCACGATTTTGAATTTGAATTTATAAAGATTTTGAAGTAAGAATTTTTTAAATTAGTTCATTTGAAATTTTGATTTTGTAATGATTGAGTTAATAAAATTATTATTTTATTTGAAAAATTGATATAAATATTATAAAATATTATGACTAATAACTATACATAGAATATTTTTATTTATTTTATTTAAAAAAAATACACCACCAGCCGACCTCTCCCACCCATCCTACCTCACCTGTCATTACCCTGCAAGTTCTCCGTACAGGTTAGTAACCAGACAAAGCAGTAGAGTGTCACTAGAACTTAGACTAGGGTTTAAATTAGGTTTGGTAGAGAATTTTGTTGTACAGTAAATATACAGCAAAAATTATCGCAAATCCGCGAGACGAAATAAAATTTGGGGACAAATATAATACTCCCTCCGTCCCGTCAAGATGATCCATTTGCTTAAGGATACGGGTATTTTAGATAGTGTAGATTAATAAGTTATTAATAATAAATTATAATATTATTTTATTATTTTTATATGAGCAGTGTTGTTGGCATTTTAAATATTTTTAAGATCATATATTAATAAAATATATACAATATGAATAAGAAAATAATACAAATAAATATGAAAATTAATTTATTTATTTATAATTAACTTAAAATTAATTTTATTAAAAATAAGAAGTTTTAAATATAGATAAAAATATTTTATTTATTAAGGAGAGAGATAGAAATAAGGGGTTTTGAGTGGGTAATTAAATTGATTTATATTTGTTAAATAGGTTTAAGATGAATAAATTTACTAAAATAGAAATGAGTCGTCTATAATGAAATCGACAAAAAAGGAAAAAGGTCATCTGTGGCGAGACGGAGGGAGTATATGGAAGGATCCTTATACATTTACATTATTTTTATTTCTATAATATCCGACATAATTGATCATAGATATAAATTAAATTAAAATTTGCAATCTTTCCCGGTATTTGCATATGTAAACGAGCATTAAATTTATTGATAGTTGCTTGTAGAAGAGAGAGGCATAAGAACATGGCAAAATTACATGCTTTTATATATCTTCAGATTGATGTAAGGATTAGGACAGCTACATTTTTCTGCGGCTGAAAGTTTTGTTCCTTTAGAATAGTATGTCACTTTCCTATGCTGTTACTCATAAAAATCAGTTATCCTACATTATTTTTTTTTTTATTTTTTTTATTTTTCCACAGTAATTCTCTATTCAGATATATAAATTTAATAATTGAAATGCCAAATTTTCCACATCCACGAACCAACCATGTGGTTAGGTATATATCCAAATAGTTGGATGTGATATTTTATAAAATAATAATAACAATAAAAAGATTTGAAATTTTTTTTTTTTTTTGAAAATGAGTCATATTTATGTAAATGGCTGCAAATGGGATGTTAATTTGACTCGATCACCAGATAGAAAGGAAGTGGAGTGTAATCAATAATATATTGCGTTATGTAAAATTATATTATATTGCATGAGATTGATTATATGTTGTATGATGTATTATTAGATGTTGTCATGTATGTGCTAACGGCCTTAATGTAGTATATGTGTTGCCAAATTAAAACAATGTTGATTTGATTCCGTTAACATGAAAATCGAAGTGCATATAAACATATTGAACTATGTGTTAATTTGATTTCGCTTAATAAGAGCAAGTGGTCTCCTTGTCGGAATGCTCTCAAAACTAGAGCTGACAAAAATTGATCCGACACGACCCGACACAAAATAATTGGGTTTGGGTCAAATATTTCAACCCGATTATGTATACGGGTTGACACGAACCCGACACGATAGTAAACGAGTCGGGTTAGGGTTGAGGCTCTCAACTCGAACCCGACACGACAATCCGATTATAATATATTAATATTGATTAATATATTTATTATATATGTAAAACAATCATAATTTACTAATTTTCTCATAAATTAATTTAAACTAAGTTCAATTTTAAATAATTCAACTTAATTTACTTTCAAACCAATAAAAACTAACATAACACGACAACATAACAAAAAAATATTTAATTTGAATCAAGAAATTCTACTTAATTATATATACGGGTCAACACGAGTCAACCCGAACTCGACACGATAATAAACGGGTCAACACAAACCCGACACGATCATAAACGGGTCGGGTTAGGGTTGAGTAATTTAACCCGTTTAAAGTATTCAACCCGACACGAACCGGACACGAATCGACCCATTGCCAACTCTACTAAAAACCCATTCACTTTAGAACCTTATACTCCCTCCGTCCCATAACTATGTATTCATGTGCTTTTTGCACGGGATTTTAAAAATATTAGTATTATATTGGAATGTAGTAAGAATAAAGTAGAAATGATTAAAATAATCTTATTAGTATTGTGTGATATAAAATTAATGACATTTATATAATATATTGTAAGTTGTAAGAGTATTTGTAACGTCAAGTAGATAGTAAAATTACTAAGAAAAAGAAATAAATATTTTGTTATGAGACGGAGTAAAATGGAAAAATAAATACTTTGTTGCGGGACGGACTGAGTATAAAATTTGTTGAGCCATACTTTAAATTTATCTGACAAATATAAAAAAGAATTTGTTGAATCAATACCGTAATCATTCCCTATAAAGAGTGTTCTAAATCTTACAATTTAGCTTAGATTTCATAATAGTCATGTAGGTTTTGTCGACCGAATGTAGGATGTAATAAAAATCTTGAGGTATATTGACTCAAAAGTGAGATGTGGGATATTTTTTTTTTTACAGAGTAGGCGAATCACGCGATCAATGTAGGCCTTGCATGAATACAAATGATTTAAACAGAATGGTTCACATTGTTGGATCGAAATAATACGAGGGACGACATTGCTAAGGTGGAAGAATTCGAGATGTTGTCTGTAATCGAATAACATTTTTGAAATAGAAGATTAACACTTTTCTGTTGTAATGTATTTGTAAAATATTACATTCTTTTTTCAGACATAAATTAAATAGTCCGAAATGCTAAAAGAATGAAATAAAAAGAAAAATTTATGTTGTGTGTATTTCTTTCCATCTATCCATCTATCTTCTTAATTATATTGATCACTATGATCGACTCAATCGAGAGGTGAGATCGACGAAAAAATCCTCGCTGCAAGGAATGGTGAGGCCCCCCTTGGGATGATGGAATCCGAATTCCTCCTCGGCTTGAGACAACAATTCTTGGAACGAGGAATGGTTCAAATAAGACACGGGAACAACAAAGCGCTTCTTTTCATCGTTCTCCCCAACATATACCGCCAAGTGGCCCTTTGGAACTTCGGATGATCTTCTTTCATTGGATAAAGACCTTCTCAGCTTGTGTACGATTGCCATTCTTGGATGTATTAGACAATAAAATCGATGAAAGCTGTAAGGAGATGTGTTTATGTAAGAAGTGAAAGGCTAGAAAGATTGAAGCAGTTGTTGCTGGTTGTAATCTGGATATGGTGTTGTATATATATATATATGTATATAGGCGATCAAGAAATTCCGTATAGTCGACAAACTCTTACCAAATATTGTTGAATTATGTAGATGGATCTGTGTTGACGAGGCATGAGCACATGACGAAATGAATGTGCTTGTCTTCCGGTTATGGTAGAGTTTGTAGGACAGCAGGAACCTGTGTGGCTGAAAAAACAGTGTCTTCTCAGGACATACAACCACCACATGTCTTATGCTGTAATAAATTGGATAAGTAATGTATCATCTGCTCAACCATTCCTTGGTTTCCATTGGAACCGAAACAGCGGAAATTAAACAGCTGAAATGGCCCTTTCGAAACCTCTCAATTGGTCCACCATGTGAAACAATGGTTACACATTCATTACAGGATCTGCAGCAATTATGGTTTCAGACATTGCAACCTGAAACAAATTAATCACCAGAGCTCATGTGATTGTGTTTCTCGAAGTAGAAGTTAAGGAGGAACGATGGCCACAGGTTTATCTGTCTGATTATATACACTAAAGACATTCGAAAGATACATGTCCTAAAGGGACAATCATATCGACCACAAAAACTGCCTGGCTTGTGATCCTATAGGATTGTAAGAAGACAAATGCATTTATCTCACCATGTGCTTATGTCTGACTAGTTTCGTAGGCAACACATATCCTACTTTCAATGTTCACTGGTTGGTCGAATAGTTCCGTAGTATGAGGTATATCTCGATTTTCTAGCCTATATGTATATATATATACACTACAGATATCCAGACTAAAACAAGCAACAATTACTTCAATCTTTCAAAGTTTTGATCACTTCTTACAAAAACATATCTCCTTAAAAGTCTCATTTTCCTTGCCGAATACAACCAACAATGGCCATCGTACAAAAGCTGAGACGGTCTTTATCAAATGAAAGAAGATCAGCCGAGGTTCCAAAGGGGCACTTAGCTGTTTACGTTGGGGAGAGCAGCAATAAGAAGCGGTTTGTTGTTCCGGTGTCTTATTTGAAGAATCCTATGTTTCAAGAATTGCTGTCTCAAGCTGAGGAGGAATTCGGGTTCCATCATCCAATGGGAGGCCTCACCATTCCTTGCAGCGCAGATTTATTCGTTGATATCACATCCCATTTGAACAAGGCATATAGATAGATAGATAGATTTTCCTATTGTTTTCGGAGGCATTTATCCTTTCATTTAAAGAGGATGTATTTGCCCGGACAGAATTTGTATTTTCTTACAATTAATTATACTCCGAAAACACATTGCAAGAAAATTCTTTTGATCAATCTCTTGTGTAAAAAGAATTATATAATTCTAACAATATTCCTCACAAAATACTTGGAAGATCAGTGAATTAATATTTATATCCTAGACGAGTACTTTTGATGTGGTGTGCAAAAATAGGTTCTAGGTCATTTATAACGGAAATTGTTGCCTGAAAATGCTACAGAAAGATATTGCATTTAGCAGAACATAATGTAATAACTTTCTTACAGTGGCAAATTATGGAGAAGGTGCTTATGTTTTTTTATTTTCTTATGAATTCTATCTGGTAATAAATGGTACGAATATGTAATAGTTTCTACAGAAAAGTGTAACGAGTACATGTCTCACATGGGAAAAATCTTGTGTTTAACCTAACTCTTTTGTTATGAAATATGGCAATGGAAAAATATTGTGTCGTAAATACATATTACGGGAAAGATGGGTAGTAAATTCGTGGCAAATTTATATTTTACATGAAAAATGACTGTTTTGATATGGCTTTTTGGCCATTAAGAAAAATAATATTTTTAGTAGTGAATACACAACTAGTTATGCTTTTTATTGAAAATTTTGAATTTTCCCTCTTTCAAAACACATTCTTGTTTCTGTGATTTAATTTATTACAACACTTTTGTGTTTTCCAGTGAAAGGAGTCGTCATATCATAGAAATATCATTAAATGGCTTTATTTTCTTGCTCTGGAATCTCTATAAATTATTATAAGACACAATCATGTGACTATCATGTGTTCGTGTTTCTGTTCGAGACGATGTTTAATTTCTACTCTGTTCACTAATACTCCATCCTGATTTATTACATGCAACAAAACCACGTCTGTTAAGAAACATAACCCTTGTAGTAGTGATGGCCTCAAAACTTTTTTCTGCATCATTTCTTACATCTGAAACGTTTAGGACAATTCTACTTTAATAAATAAAAAGAACTTGCTGCCAGTTCTCATCCTAAATAATTACTTATAAGCAGATACATAAATACATAAATAGATTTATTTGTTGAGCAGTCAAAAAACATGAGCATATATGATAATCGCATAGTTATGTAAGAAGTTTGCCAGGTTTTTCGTCTTTTCTTGTCCTCTTTGAAATTGGACAAAATATGTACCGTTCATCCTAAACGACCCAACAAACCAAACTCATCATGTCCAATGTTCTTTCGCCATCCGAGGTCATTTAAGGCCTTAAAATGACGTTTTTCTATTTTTCTCTAGTTTTTTTCTTTTTTCTTTTGAGTTCTATAGAATTTCCTAATATAAAAAGATTTAGTTGTTTCTCTTTGATTTCAGTTTTTATTTGCATTAATAAAATGAAGTATGATGTTGATCGTCAAATTTTATCTTCTTCGGCTATCTCAATTCGTGCAATCGAAAACATGTTTTCTGGCACAAGGTCAGTGAATATTAATTGTGTATAGAATTTGCAAAGGCTGCCTGGGTCAGGTAACGCTCTTACATGAAATTTTTCAACAGTTTTGTTTTTTGGTTGATTTCTGGTAAGGGATTACAATTCTTGTCCAGATGAAAAAAAATCCCGTGAAAGGATAAACTCCTGGAGAAAAAGAAAAACAAGAAAAGAAATAAGAGAGAATCTATCTATCTATCTATCTACCTACCTAACTATACAATGACTCTGGTTTATGCTGTCTTGCTCAAGTGGAATGTGAGATCGACAAATAAATCCTCGCTGCAGGGAATGGTTAGGCCTCCCATTGGATGATGAAATCCAAATTCCTCCTCGGATTGAGACAACAATTCTTGAAACATAGGATTCTTCAAATAGGACACCGGAACAACAAACCGCTTCTTTTCGCTGCTCTCCCCAACATAAACGGCTAAGTGCCCCTTTGGAACCTCGGCTGATCTTCTTTCGCTTGATAAAGACCGTCTCAGCTTCTGTACAATGGCCATTATTGGTTGCGTTGGGCAAGAAAATGAGACTTTTATGACGAGATGTTTTTGTAAGAATGAAAGGTTTTGTAAGAGTTGTTGATTTGAATCCACATTTTGTGTTGTATATATATAGGCAAGAAATCAGGAAGTGCCATGTACTAAATGCTCGATCAAGTGGCCAACATTTTGAGTATGATATGTGTTGCCTATGAAAAATATTGAGACATAAGCACATGGAAAAATAAATGCAGTTGTCTTTGTAAAATTTTTCAAGGATCAAAAGATATCACAATTTTTGTAGTAAAAAATATGGCCCCCTTAGGACATGTACCCATCAAGTGTCTCTACTCTACTGCAATAAATCAGACAGACCCATTGCCATCTCTCAACATCAAGTAATTATAATTTGAAAGCCATTCTTCCCAGCATTGGTCCACCATGTGATCGATCGATCCAAATAATGTAAATGATGTTGCATCAAATTCGCAGCTCATGTGATTGTGCTTCTTAACAGAGTCAAGATTGATCTGAGTTCTTGGTGAGGTCGTGGTTGTTTCTTCATGTATTGATTTGGTCTTTCACTATTCATTTCAAAAAAATAAAAAATAAAAAAAGTTTTACTTCAAATTACCAAATTAAATAATTATTTTTCAGTTAATATAATACCAAATAAATTATTTTTTAAAAAAAATAATATCAAATAACTATTTATATCACACCAAAGTCAGATTGGTTGAGAAAATTTGAGATCATCAGGTAGTGGACTGATGATCCCAGCAAATAAAAGAAGAGTCAGGTTCAACACAAATCCGGCCCAATGGAATCAAAGGACAATATAGTGAAACTTTATCCAAAAAAGGGGTTATGAAAAAGATGAATCATAATCGTAATGACATCCCACATGTTGAGAAGGTGGGTGGGATTAGTAGGGAACTTGCTAAATTTAAAGGTTATAAATTGGAGGATATAAGGGTGTATTTGTCTGGCGTTTGGATTTTGGATTGACATTTGAATAGTAAAAATTTTGAATGTGAATAGTTGTTCGATGTATATAAATAGGTGTTAATACGATGTTTTGAATATAAAATTAATTTTTAGTATAATATAAAAAATTAAAAAATAAGTATTTAATTTGATGTTTTTTTTTTAGGAAAAAAAATGAATAAACAGTAATGTTCGAGAAAATTCCCCAAACAAACACACCCTAAATATTTTGAAACTGAACAACAGGTCCTTTATTCAATTTCTTTTACTGTCTTTTCTTTTGTTTCCAATATTTTGTTTATGAAATTCAGCAATTTAATTTATAGTACAAATATATTTGATTTTTATATTTGATTTTTGCATTTTTTCTGTTACCCGTTCATTCAAGTTCCATCAAACCGTCGTTATATCCGACCAGCTCCCATATTGGGTATCATGATCATTCTTGAGAGATTTGTTAGCCTGTTATATTTTATTCGCGAGATAGCCCGGATACTTGCTTGAGGAGACCAGGGAACTCTATCCAAAGATTAATTCCGACAGGTCATTTCGATTAGGCCGTCGATAGTAATTTTTTTACGACAACAGATTTGGCATGCCTCGTGAGACTCTAACATCTTGCAATTTTGTATACAACTTCAGAAGAGTGACATCGCCGCCGCCTTTAAAGATGTTGAAGAAGAAGGAAACTATTGTCGATTCGTCAACTCAGCCCACGTCCAAAGTGGTTCCATACAACTGGCCGTCCGCAGCTGTTGTTCGGATCGGATCATCATCCTTTCTGCCAGCGAACTTCAATAACAGATTCATGAAGAGATGACATCTTTTCATGAATCCGCCCTTGAACTCTCTCAGTATATTAGCGACGTTTTGAAACAGACTATCCAAAATGAGTTTGTGTGCTTCGGGAAAAGGAAGCCCGGAAAGGAAAAGCGCCAATGGTTGGCCCCAAATAGCCAGAAATTGGGCTTCCTGTGAGTCTTACAGCCAGCGCTGTAACAGATTCAGCGTCCCATACATTTGAGTACGGTCATGTCATCTAGAAGACAGGAGAGCCCAAAATACCATCGGTGAAGGCCTCCTTATGGCCGCCTTCGACCGATGGATTCGGAATGACCTTCGGAACTATCCCTCTCAGCCCTACAATGGCATGTGAACTCTCTTTTTGTTGGAACAATGTCCAATGCTCTTTTTCTCACTCCAAGCCTTCAAGAAAATCCAACGGGCAGGCAAAGGACTTCCAGTACTTAGAGGGAATATGCGATGGTAGCTCCGGCACATCTGTTCGTCCCAATACCTATTAGAACAACATGGGGACCATCAATATCAGTTCCAATACCATCCCAGCATGCTGGGGGGCAGGGAACTGCTAAGCAAGACCAACCCCCTGCTGCTTTCGGGTTACAATAAGGATATGGATCCCCTATCCAAATGGTGATGCCAAACCCCGGAAGTGCACCACCGAAATAGGTACTAGCCTTCAAAGAATCCGGTGAAGGTGGACGAGTTTGTTTTCCACATTGAGTGTCTGCTCTTCAAGCCTTCTCGTAGCCAGAGCTAAACAATTCGTTGCTCGTTTAGACAGCTCTTGAATAATCTGGGGGAAGGAAAAAATTGCGCCACTACCGTATCCTATCACAAATCCTCCTGCGATCAAAGATGCAATTCATAAAATTTTTTATGGTGATCTATCTGACTACCGAAAAGGCCCCACTATCAAACGTTTTTTCTAGACTATATTCCCTTGGATCACCATTACCTCAGAATGTTGAGATCACTGAGTTTTCTTTTTTTCAAGGGAAGACTCCCGCTCTACAATTGGACATGTTTTCTGATTCATGTTTCATTATGAATGAGAGTTTGAGAATAATGGTTGGTATAAACTCCAGTTATTTTCATTGTCCTTGAATGGCCCGGCGTTTACCTATAATTCTTTGTTGCCTCAAAATTCCTTCCATACGTGGATAGACCTAATGACCGTTTTCCATGAATGTTTCTACAACCCCCCTTCCAGAGGTGACAGTATTAGATCTGACAAATCTGTGTCACAAAGCAAAGAATCGGTTGAGAAGTTCCTAGAACAATTCTGAAGGTCATAAAAGATGCTAGTTTTGTATACAAGAGAACCAAGTCGTGAACATGGAGATAGACAACATCAAACACCAATTTTGAGAGAAGTTGTCCCTTTTTATGAATATCACAAATTCCGATAGTTGACCTCCAAAGCCGTGAAGACCGAGCACCTCGTGAAGGCACTTAGGTAGCTGAAATTAGAAGATATGGAACGGAAATTATCATGTTTATGTTCAGAAAGAGGATACTGAAGCCGAGGACGAACCATATGAGACCTTCCTGCATGAGATCTTCTAGGGGAAAGCTTATATTTGCCCAGCTCTTAAGGAGCCCCGGAAAAAATGAGATGAATTGAAAATTTTGTACTCGTTTGACATCATTGAGATAGAACATATTTTTTAGTATCTGTTGAAGGATAACATACTCTGTCTCAAGGAATGACACAAAATTCTAACGGATGAGGAGTTGAATAGGAAGTCATACTCTAAATGATACATGATTTCTAAGCACAAAGTTGGAAATTGCATTGCTTTCAGGAACAGAGTGCAGAAGGCTATCAAGGAAGACCACCTCCGGCTGGACGAGAGGCTTGATATGATAGTTGATCAAGGAAGACTCTCCCCTACCAACGAGGTTGTGGAAGTCAGCTTTGAGAGGGATTAAGAGGTATGGTGGGTGATCTCAATAGATCAGGTGGGGATCACGCCCAATCGGATATGCCATTCCGAAAAAGCTCTAAGGGATAGAAGTTGGGTTGTGAACCAAAAAGAGCAAATTTCAAGGCCTTCCACTAGGTCCAAAAAAAGGAGAACGTCAATGCCGAGCTTTATAAATCTATCAAGAAGGTCAATCATGGAGGCAAAAGTCAGCTAATTAGGAAGCAGCAGATTCTAAAAGGCTGCAATTGGATCCGGAAGATTTGAGCCATCAGCTACGGACCCGGCGAGATGGAGGCCAAAACATGTTCTGCCAAAGGGTGAGTCTCCTTCTGATTGGCTGCCTCATGCAGCATCTGAAACTGCCCAGGTCCTGGAGAATAAGCTGATGATTGCGGCACTCGATTGCGATGAGGTATCGAAGGAAGTCTAGACATAGTATCGACTAATCGAGACCTTTAAAGTTTTTACATTACAAGGTCGACTTCAAGTCAATGTGATTGGATATTTGCTTCAAGAATTTAAGGCTCCTGAGGTCCAACCAACCTACTTTAAAAGGTATGTGATGGTCGAAGGGGACGGTCCATTGTACTGGGTGGAATAGAACGTCGACCTTTCGAACAATGGTCCCGAGCTGATAATAATTGAAAAATTGGCGGATGAAAGCACACGCCACTTGAAGCTCTTGTTCCTTATGATATATCTTGATGGGCGGACTGTGAGCAACGTCTTGGTCGACTTCCGTCAATGTGATGTCCTTGTCCATACTGAGGAAGATCAGAAAAAATCGGAACAACCTCATTTCAATGATACTATGAAAAAATGAATTTACGCAAAATTCTCATGCAACTACGAGCATGTTATTCATCCTTGAGAGGAAGCCAAAAAACTCAGCCATCCTCGGAAGGGATTGGATCAATACTACCCAGTGCATTCCTTCGACTTTATTTAAGAAAGTTATGTTTTGGAATGAAGATCATTTCGAGATGGTCGAGGGAAAGGTTGACCCATCCATGGAAGTTCACTCCGTGGAGGCCGTCTACTACTAGCCCGATGTCTACTCTTTGTCCATGATGTCAGAAGATGTCAGGGTTTAGAAGGAATGTAATCTGATCATAAAAGGTTTCGAGATCAAAATTGAGGCAGAAAAACGGCCCAAAAGCTCCTCAATTCATAACGAATGATGATCTGATCTTGCAGGACTTGGAATTGAGGACAGGCAAATTCGAATGTCTATTCACACAGGCCTGAACTCATGCCGCTTATCTTCGTGACAAAATGGAAGAGGTACCTTCCTAGCTACCTCTTTTGGATTAGGAAGAAGACGAGCTTTACTCTTTGATCCAATGAGCTACCTTACCATTTGAGGCGCAAGACCTGCTGAGGAGGTTAATTTGGG